ACGGCATCCACAACACGTCCTCACTGACTGCAGGTTGCCATGACAGGCAGGAGTCACCAATAGAGCCGGAGGAGGAGGAGGATGAGGAGGAGGAGGAGCAGGAGGAGGAGGAGATGAGCGTGGAGGAGAGTGCTGATGAGGAGGCGGATTCAACGAAGGAGGAAGAATCAAATCACATCTACGAGTCGATCCAGGACCTGAACCTGGACCTGGAGGCTCTGGTTGGAGGAAGGGTTAGTCCTGGAGCACCACCTGAACCTGTCCCTGCACCTGCCCCACCCCCCACACAGGTAAGATGGTGGCGTCAGTGGTCCGACCTGCAGCTCATTCAGGTTTTAGATTCCCTTCACAAAGAGGTTTCTGTATCTGAGTCTCAGTCCAGGACTGACCTGAGATCAGTCTGAGACGATCATTCAAACCAGACCTGACAGATCAGGGACGTCCGGTCTGATTGTCGGCGCGCTCGGCTGAGGAGGAGACTGATCATCAATAATCAGCAACGCTGATCAAAGTACATTCAAACTGCTGCTTCACTCAGAGGCTGCACATCTTCTTACAAAATAAAAGCCCTCTCCAGCATGTCATTTCCTGCCGCGTCGACACAGGAAGCAGAAGAAAAAAAGCTGTTTCCTCTTTTTATTCTCATCAGAGCAGAAACACTGCTGACCTCTGACCTCCAGAACTGCAGTAAACTGGTCCTTGAATTTACTTTTATTTTATTTTATTTTTTTCTTACTGTATTAAATACTCATGGCGGGGGGGTCAGGGTCTGTGTGGTGTCTGGTGATGTCACAGCAGGATGTGATGAGGTCAGCAGGATGTAGTGATGTCACAGTCAGCAGGATGTGTTCAGGGTCGGACAGGAAACTGTGAGAGGATGACGCTGCAGCGACACCTGCAGGACGAGGCAGGAAACACAGTAACCTGACCTGAATGTGTGTGTGTGTGTGTGTGTGTGTGTGTGTGTGTGTGTATGTGTGTGTGTGTGTGTGTGTGAGTGTGTGTGAACTGGTCTGACTGGTTTGTGAGGCTGAATCTGGTCTCTCAGCTCAGCTCTGTGTGCACTTTAAATTTAAATTTACCTGGTTTAAGTTTAGAGACAGAAACTGTTAAACTACAAAAGACTGAATTTACAATAATAAAAATAATAATAATAATAATAATAGTGGCTGTGCTCATTTTGAAAGAAGTTGAAGTGGCAGATGAAAGTGAACGAGGATAAAGTGTCTGAGTGAGTGAAGCTGACTCCACAGACCTGGACCCAGACAGAACCAGCTGAAGGTCTGTGGTGAATCTGTGGTCACGACATTCTTCTGTCAAACTGGACTCGTCTGGTCTTCAGACAAATATTAACCATGTGTCCTGGTCTGAGCTGCATCCTGATTGGCTGCAGATCACAGCAGTGGTCCAGTCCGGTCAGGTCCGGTCTGGTTCAGTAGAACCTTTGCAGTCAGTCCTGGACCAGAGCATCACAGCTGTGTCAGATGATCCTGGCTAGTTTCTGGGTAGAAAGAGTGGAGGGAACCTGTTGGGGGTGGGGCGACAGGAGCCCCCCAGGGGCCATAGCAGGTTAGACCTGTTTTTTCTTGTTCAGGGTTCAGCCTCACTGTCTTCCTCTGACTGAGGTGACACAGTTTTTGGAGGGAAACAGCAGGGGGCAGCAGAGTGTCATTCTGCTTCATATTCACTGCAGAGTCCAGAGTCCAAACAACCAGAGGTTCACTGTGTTAGTGTGTGTGTGCGTATGTGTGTGCGCATGTGTGTGTGTGCGTGCGCTTAACGCAACAGTTTTTACAACAGTTTGTAAAACAGTAAATCCACAGAGGTGTGGTGAGTCTGCTGTGGTCAGTGAATGTGTCGCTGTGGAAGATTTCTTCAGTGTTTATGAGCAGTTTGTAAAATGTTTCCTGAACAACCAGCAGTTCCCTGTGGACCTGATGATATCTGATACTGTGTGTGTGTGTGTCCAGGAGTCATTGAAAATGTTCTAGGAGTCATTATAAATGCTGTAAATGTCCTTGAGGAAGCTTTATAAATCCTGAGGAGGTTGTTGGTCCTTGAACATGTTTCCTTGAGAAGTTCTGTGAAACCTGGAAGAGGTTCAAGGTGTCCTGGAGGATGTCAGGTGAGTCTGTGAGGAGGTTCCAGGGTATGAAAAAGGGTTTTTAAATCAGCAGGGATAAGGCTTCAGGCTGCAGAGGGGCGGAGCTACAGGCTGCAGAGGGGCGGGGCTACAGGCTGCAGAGGACTGGCTGCAGTCTGACAATGGTTTGAGTTCCAGTCGGAGCAGAAACAGAGAAACTTCCTGACTTGTTTCTAATATAGTTTGATTCTGGATAGAATTTAAGAACACAGAGGCATTATGGGTAAGTCCACACAACCTGAACTGTTGAAGTTAATGGTTTAAGCATCCTTCATTCTGCTGTTTTAGGCTCTGATGGATTTTGTGAAGTCAGTGAACTACGAGTGCTGATCCAGGACTCTGCGGTCCAGGACCTGAGGCCAGTTTATAGTCCAGGTCTCTGGCCTGGTCCTTGACAGTGTCTCAGGGTAACAGCTGATCTCAGCTGACAGATGTTCAGGTTAATGTGAAACTCAGGTGTTATTGTGGAGTTTGACCTCTAACCTCTGACTAGCAGTCTGTTAAACATTCAGAGGAGACACACCTGGTCCTGGACTCACCTGGTCTGTATTACTGTGAGAACCTGCTGCTCGGACGTTCACAGTCACATTGTCTTACCAAGAGAAAGACTTTCTCTTATATTCAGATTTCCTTTGTTGAATGTTTCATTCAGGTTTTTAAATTTGCAAATTGAAAATGTTCATAAAGTCTGTGGATAGAGAGACAGTGATCAGCTGTGAACCCCTCATCTCTGCTGAACTCTGTGTTTCCACCTGGCTCATCAACATCAGCTCTTTACCTGTAGCCAAAGTCACACAGGTACAGGTGTGGTGAGGCCTCGTCCGTCACGGTGTTTTGGCTCTTCAGCCGGTAAAACAGCCGGTCGTTCAAAGTCCAGTTTGTATCTGCATCATGTGAAGTGACGACAAACTGACAGTGTCAGCAGCAGAAACTGTTTTACATGTGATCATTAGCATTAATATAATTATATCGAGAGCATGATCAGTTATTTCAGGATGATTAATATTCATGAGACATTTCAGTTCAACACGAATCCAAGAAATCATCTTCACAGTGAAGTGACCACAGCATTCATTTACTGTTTGTGTGTGTGTGCATGTGTGTGTGTGTGTGTGTTTATAAAACAAAGGAGGAGCACTTCCTGTCGGACAGCGGCTCGCTCCACCCAGGCAAAGAGATCGTTACTGTTAATGAGGAGAAGAGTTTATGAGTTTCTCTTCAGATGTTACTGTGACAGAAACTCTCAGATGTTTGGCTTCATTCACCAATTATCATTAGTCAGTTATCATTTATTAATTATCATTAACCAGAGGAGCTTCTTGTCCGTCATATCAGATCATCTTTAGCTCCAGTTTGTCATCATAAAAAATCAAAACAGTGAAGTACTGTTCCTTTAAGTCCTCTCTCTCTCTCTCCCTCTCTCTCTCTCTCTCTCTCTCTGTAGGACCACAGCTCGCCCGGCCCTAACTCGCCCATCTACGCCAACGTCTCCTCTCTGAAGAAAACATCTCTCCCTCAGACCTCCGCCCCAATACCACCACCTCCTTCTGACCCCGCCCCCTCTGTCCCAGACCACACCCCCTTGTCTTCCGTCTCCTCCTCCGGCATGATAAGCCCCTCCTCTCCACTCAGCCCACAAGAGGAGTGGCAGGTAAGGTGACCTCTGACCTCTGTGTTTCATTAGCGTAAGTTTAAATACTGAAAGGAGTTCAAGCGGCAGCTGAGACAGAAGCTGTGAAAGAAACTGAAGTGGACACAGAGGACAGAAGCACAGAAAGACATTGAAATGACAGAGGAAATTTAAACACTGAAAGAAGTGGAAGTTTCAGTTGAGACAGAAGTTGTGAAGTAAATCGAAGTGGCAGATGAAATTTAAGGAGTGAAAGGAATTGAAGTGGAAGTCAATATAACTAAAAGAAAATGAAACAGCAGATGAAATATGAGGACTGAGAGAAGTTGATGTGGCAGTGTGGACAGACAAACTGAAAGAAAATAAAGTGGTAGGTAAAATGTAGGGAGAGGAAGACGAAGTTGCCATAAAGAAAGAAGAACTGAAGGAAAATGAAGAGGTTATGGTTATGAGGTTATGACAGTTCTGACAAAGGCACTGAAAGAAATTGAAGTGGCAGATGAACTACAAATAATAAAAGAAGTTGATGTGATTGTTCAGACTAAAGTACTGAATGAAACTGAAGTGGCAGAGGAAATTTACAGAGTAGAATAAGCTGCAATGGCAGTTGAGACAAAATGCAAGGACTAAAAGCAGTTGAAGTGGCAGGTGAAATCTAAGGTCTGAAAACTGACAGACATTGAAGTGCCATAGTAGACAGGAACACTAAAGGAAAATGAAGTGATCGATTGAATTTAAGGAGTGACAGAAGCACTGAAAGAAAATTAAGTAGAGGATGAAATTTGAGGAGTGAACGAAGTCGAGGCAGAAGAACCTAAACTGAACTGAGATAAAAAACTTCAGGACTGAAAGGAATGGAAGTGATAGTTGAAACAGAAACATTGATATTCAGGCAACAGATGAAATTTACTACTGAAAGGAACTGAAGTGACAGCTGACACAGAAACACCGGAAAAAAAGAGAAGCTGATGAAATTTCACCTTTAAAAAAGTTGGTTTATCATAGCTCTTATATATGTACAGTATATATGTATATATACATATGTGTGTGTGTGTGTGTGTGTATATGTATATATACGTATATATTTATATTTATATATATATATATATATATAACATTTGATATGTTTACTCATATTGTCTTTTAGTTTTTTATCGCAGCTCTTGTTCTAATGTTTTTATTGAACAGAAGTTTAGTTTCAGTTCAGCTTCTGGTGTGTTCGTGTGGCTGCAGCTCACAGGTGATTAAAGTTTAATCAGATGTCACCTGAGCTGATCAGGTTTGTTCCTCAGAGATCGAATGAACAGGTAAAGCTCACATGTTGCTGAGGAACAGCTAATGGTTCATTGCCTTGCTCAAAGACACTTCAGTCACACACTGACGATGACACTGCTCAGGAAACTGGATATTATTTTATAAATGTCCATTTCTGACGTGATGTAGGATTCAGATGATCGAATGAAAACTGTTGCTAGGCGACTGTTTATAAAAGGTTTTTTTATTTGTAAATAACTTTGTTTTTCTTGTGTTTTGACATCATGTTTGAGAAAAGACACAAAAACAAAATGATTTTATTGAAATGGTATTTATTTTAAAGCTAATAACCTGAACAAAAGAAAAGATTATTATTTATTTATTTAAATAAATTAATACAGTTAAGTTAAAAATAGAAGCAACTTTCCCTTCATGAAGTTTTTTTGACCTCCTCATACAAACATAATAAATACGGATGTACCTGAACGCACCATGTTTTCTCTGCAGGTGCACACTGACCAGGACAGTGGGAAGGTGTTTTATTTCCATCCTGTCACCAGACAGACCACCTGGTCCGACCCCCGCTGCCCCCCACACATGGACCAGTCCAAGGGGAGGGAGGGGGGACAGCTGACCTCCCCCTCACTTCTGCTCTCCCCCGCTTCCTCTCAGGTACCAGAAACACAAACCTGTTCACATTTACAACTGAGATTATTTATTGTTTTATTAAGTTTGAAATGAACAGTTCCACTTCACAATAAGACTTCCTTTATAAAAGATTTCTATAATCAGGTTATTAATTCAGTCGTTAACGTTATAAATCATTTAACAATTAAAACACGTTATAACAGTTTTCATACATTGATTCAGGCTCACTTTTTGGCAAGATCAAGTTAACGCTTCCTACTCATTAATCTGACTGATGAGTTATTACCATTTATAACTGGTAACAGGAGCCTGTTAGTAACTGATCAATACATGAAGATGTGTTTATAAATGTTAGTAACTGATCAATAAATGGTTGTAAACTGATGAAGAAATATGAAGACGATGGAGGGAAAAAACACAGACACGTGAACAGAGGGACAAAGACAATACAAAATATCAATATTGATTACATTATTATTGATCACATCATTATTGATCACATGAATATGAAGTGATGTTCAGAGCTGTGTCCCCCCCCCCCCAGAGCTCCTGTGGGTGGGAGCAGCTGGTGGACGAAGTCTCAGGCAGATTTTATTACTACACCCCGCCCACACGAGCCACGTCCTGGACCGCACCTGAGCCGCTGTCCTCCCCCACCTCCCCGTCCTCCCCCGCCTCCCCCCCCAGACCTTCAGCCAACAGGAAGCATGAGGACGGCCCGGTACGGTCCTGAGAGGAGTCCGGATCAGATCTCATCCAGGATCAGTGAAGTCAGGGATTATAGACACATTGATCTGAAACAAGATCAATATCTCAGGAGCAGGGACTGAAAGCAGCTGAAGTGGCAGATGAAGTCTAAGGTCTGAAAAAGTTGAAGTGGCAGTGTAGACAGGAACACTGAAGGAAAATGAAGTGATGGATTGAATTGGGGGAGTGACAGAAGCACTGAAAGGAATGTAAGTGGAGGAGAAAATGGATATGAAATACTAAATACTGAGATAGAAGCTCTGAAAGAAAATGAAGTGGAAGATGAACCTAAAGATAAAATATTCAGGACTGACAGTAATGGAAGTGGAAGTGTAGACAGGAACACTGAAAGCTCTAAAAGGAGCAGATGAGATGTCAACTTTAAAAAAGTTTGTTTATATATATTCTGTACATATATATATATATATATATATATATATATATACACACACACATATGTATTTATGTATATGTATATATGTGTGTGTACAAATATATATATGTATATATATATGTATGTGTGTGTACATATATACATATATATATATATATATATACATGTAGATATATATAATGTATGTATATATAATAAATGACGGTTTATTTCTGTTCTTTATCTGGTTGAATGAAGCCCCCCCTGCCAGAGGAGGATTATCCTATAGATGCACCTAGAGACAACGACACTGTCTTTACCACGGTACACACACACACACAAACACACACACACACACACATACACACACACACACACACACACACACACACACACACACACACACACACACACACACACACACACACACACAGGGTTTCATCTCCAGTCTGTCCCTGTGTTTTTTTCCCAGCATGCTCAGCAGCCCGTGGGTCTGATTCCCAGAGCTCAACTGCAGGAGGTGATCAATCAATCAATCAATCAATCAATAGATCCTCAGGTTTTGCACCTGATTCTTTTTTCATTGATCCATCGGTTCGTTGTTTGTTCCAGCCCTCACATCTGCCCCAAAGAATGATGGGAAATGGAGTTTCTGAGGAGGGAACGAACTGGGGATACAGTGTGGCAGAAGACGTCAGACTAATATTATTGATCATGATGGAAATAATTTACTTTTGATATTATTTACATTAAAATATGAATTCATTTAAAAATAATTTAAAATCTCCTCTCTACAGACATTAGCTCCTGGTCACAGGAGGAACGTCTCTGACTTCACTGAGGTGTCCAACAGAAGACACTCCCCCGACAGTCCACAGGTAGACTTAACTGTCAACATCTGTCACACACTTGTCTACACCTGTCTACACCTGCCTCACACCTGTCTACACCTGTCTACACCTGCCTCACACCTGTCTCACACCTGTCTACACCTGCCTCACACCTGTTTACAGCTGTCTACACCTGTCTCACACCTGTCTACACCTGTCTACACCTGTCTCACACCTGTCTACATCTGCCTCACACCTGTCTACACCTGTCTCACACCTGTTTACACCTGTCTACACTTGCCTCACACCTGTCTACACCTGTCTCACACCTGTCTGACACCTGTCTACACCTGCCTCACACCTGTCTAAACACGTACATCCATCCATCATTCATTCATTCATTCATTGGTTAACACCCTGTGATGTCATCCTGTTCTCCCTCATCAAGCTCTCTGATAGGCTCACACTGAAGAGGAATCTGTCCAATCGGAGCACAGGCTCCCACCAGCTGCATGTAGGTTCTGGGCCCTGATTGGCTGCTGGGTGTCTGTTGGGTTGTCTCTGTCTCATGCAGGTTTCCACGGTGTCAGACCGCCTGCGGTTGTCATGGAAATGTGGTTGTACTAACAGTTGTTCTGAATGAAACTAACAGTTGAAACATGTAGGTCTGATGTGAAGGGACTCTGTGGGCGGTCGGTCGGACAGCGCCCCCTGCTGTCTGTCCTCAGTGTCTCAGTATCTCATTGTCTCATTTACTCAGTGTCATTGTCTCCTTTTCTCAGTGTCTCATTGTCTCAGTATCTCAGTGTCTCATTGTCACAGTATCTCCTTCTCTCTCTCTCTCCCTGTCTCGGAGGTGCAGTGTCTCATTGTCACAGTATCTCCTTTTCTCAGTGTCTCATTGTCTCAGTATCTCCTTTTCTCAGTGTCTCATTGTCACAGTGTCTCAGTATCTCAGTGTCTCATTGTCTCAGCATCTCAGTGTCTCATTGTCTCAGTATCTCATTTTCTCAGTATCTCATTTTCTCAGTGTCTCATTGTCTCAGTATCTCATTTTCTCAGTATCTCATTGTCTCAGTGTCCTTAGTGTCTCATTGTCTCAGTATCTCAGTGTCTCAGTGTCCTCGGTGTCTCATTGTCTCAGTATCTTAGTGTCCTCGTGTCTTCAGTGTCTCCTTGTCTCAGTGTCCACATGTGGGGACAGATCATTGTCTCTAATGTAGCTGTAATGAGCTCTGCAGCCTGTTGGTGGCGCTAACAGGAAGTTGTTTCTCCACTAACCCTAATCAATCATCACGGATCAATAACTCTGATTGATGTGAGGAACTAACTGCTCTGTCTGTGACTCACTGATCTACGGTGGCCCTGAAGGCTCAACACACTGCAGCTTCACAAACATGTTCAGTCTGACAGCAGGAGCTGCACATACTCATCAGGAAGTGTTTCCAGGGGACACTGAATAGTGACGGACCTGAGGGCTGATCTAACAGCTGACAGCTAACAGCAGCATCATCATGTGATACTGACATTATGATGAACTGAACAAACACCTTCAGCTCATTTTAACTTCAACTGTCAGGAAGTGTTGAACAACAAGTCCGTCTCTTTTTACTGTCCCCTGGTCTGTCCTGAGGAGGAACACACACACACACACACACACACACACACACACACACACACACACACACACACACACACACACACACACACACACACACCACTCCCATGTTGACACAGGAGTCACATTTCAAAGCCGACCTGTGCGTCTCTACCTGTCTGTGTCCACAGTACCACCTGCTGGAGAAAGCAGGGATCACCAATAAGACCAAAGTAGCTGATAACGGCAAAAAGATCAGGTGAGAACCAGTCTGTCTGTCTGTCTGTCTCTCTGTAGTAACTGTCTCTCTCTCTGTCTGTCTGTCTTCTCTCTCTGTCTCTCTCTGTCTCTCTCTCTCTCTCTGTCTGTCTGTCTCTCTGTAGTAACTGTCTCTCTCTCTGTCTGTCTTTCTCTCTCTGTCTCTCTCTCTGTCTGTCTGTCTTTCTCTCTCTCTGTCTTCTCTCTGTAGTAACTGTCTCTCTCTCTGTCTGTCTGTCTTCTCTCTCTGTCTGTCTGTCTCTCTGTAGTAACTGTCTCTCTCTCTGTCTGTCTGTCTTCTCTCTCTGTCTCTCTCTCTCTCTGTCTTTCTGTCTCTCTGTAGTAACTGTCTCTCTCTCTGTCTGTCTTTCTCTCTCTGTCTCTCTCTCTGTCTGTCTGTCTTTCTCTCTCTCTGTCTCTCTCTGTCTGTCTGTCTCTCTCTCTGTAGTAACTGTCTCTCTCTCTGTCTGTCTTTCTCTCTCTGTCTCTCTCTCTGTCTCTCTCTCTCTCTCTCTGTCTT